AGGCTGTTAACTAAAATCCACTCTCAGCCTTCGGGGCAGCAAAACGGGTATTTTATCTCCTCCGTTGAGAAGAGGCCCCTGTGTGGTGTGTTTAACATTCCTGGTTTCCTTAATGCTTCTTTGTGAATACAAGGACTTCTGTACTCCCAACATGCCACCACCACCATCCCCACCCCGGCAATTTTTTTTTTTTGTGTGTGTGTGTGTGTGACTTTAAAAAAATACTTATTTGGGGGGATATATTTACATGCAGGACACGGTGTGCATGTAAAAGCCAAAGGAAACATTTTGAGAATTAGTTCTTACCTTTCCCACATGTCTGGGGGTAGAACTGAGGTGTTTAGACTCAGTCATTTTATCTTCTGAGACATTTCACTTGCAAGTTCTTAAAATATAGCCCAGGTTCGTCTTGAGCTCAACATCCTTCTACATACCCCATCCCCAGCTTACAGGTTTAGACCACCCTATTAGATACAGCATCACTTGTGAACACTGTACCCTTTATACCTGTGCTAATTCTAGTATGTCTCTAAACTTAACCTCTGAAAGTTTATACACCCTTAGAACAAGGCCAAAAATCTGAATACTGGTGAAGTTGCCAAGGCCATGGCAAAACTCACCTGTGATGATCCTGATACAGAAGCTCCCTGAAAGAATATTAAGAACAGGGCTGGGGAGATGGCTCAGAGGTTAAGAGCACTGGCTGCTCTCCTAGACGTCCAGAGTTCAATTCCCAGCAACCACATGGTGGCTCACAACCACCTAAAATGAGATCTTGTGACCTCTTCTGGCATTCGGTCAGAACACTATATACATAATAAATTAATAACAAATCTTTTTGAAATCCCCATTAAAAAAGAATATTAAGAACATGTTGAATGGTTGGGATGATTATTGCTGTTACGGGAATTATTGCATTGACTGCTACTGCTACAACAGCTGGAGTGGCCCTTCATAAAGAAATTCAAACTGTTGAGCTCGTTAGAGACTGGCATAAACATTCAATAGAACTCTGGACTGAACACAATAAAATAGATAATGAAATAGCTGATTTGGGACAAGCTGTTATACTGTTAGATCAGTTAAAAATATTAAAGGAGCAGATAAAATTAAATTGTGATTGGAATGTTACACCATATTGTATTACACCTTTAAAGTTTAATGAAAGCAAGTATGATTGGGAGGTTAAGATACATTTGATGGGTCACCTTAATTCTCAAATGATTTATGATTTACAACAAAAAATTGAGGAAACTTTTACAAAACAGTGACCTGATATGACAGAAACGGATGTTATGGAAAGCCTTGTATATATGATAGCCTCATTTAACCCTGATGAATCACTTTAATAGTTTCTTGTTTTATCGAGTATAACTGTTGTGCTAGCAATAGTAACCTTATTGGCTTTAAAATAAGATTGTAAAACAGAAAGGCAGGGGAAAGGCTGTATTTGCTATAAGCTATATAAATCTCCAATATAATTCATTGTTGCATATAGAAAAGTGAGATATGTTGGGATCTATGTTCCTGTAGATCTCTGTAGCTGGTTTGATTCTGAAATGATAACACCTGGCTTTGATCTGCCTTTTTAAATTGCTACCTTGTCTCCATACCTTATGTTTGAACTTTTTTTTTGGTGTGTGAGGGGGTTTCAAGACAGGGTTTCTCTGTAGCTCTGGAGACTGTCCTGGAACTTGCTCTGTAGACCAGGCTGGCCTTGAACTAACAGAGATCTGTGTGCCTCTGCTGGGATTAAAGGCTGTACCATCATAACCTAGCCTCTGAACTCTTATCTAGAGTTTCCTAGGGTTTCAAACTCTACGCAAAACTTGGTTGGAGGAGTACCCAACAAAATTGTCCTTTTGGGAAGTTCAGTTAGGGTGTTTTGGTTCATTGATTGCAATGAACAGTTGCCAGACAAGTTGATGGGACAAAGAGGTATACTGTATGACACACAGACGCCTCCAATGCCATAAGGAAGGATGAAAAGGTGATGGAGAGGCAGAGAGAAGAAGCAGAGATTTCTGTTTTTGGTGTGTTTTTTTGTTGTTGTTGTTGTTCTGTTTTGGTTTATTGTTATTTTGTTTGTTTGCTTGTTGACGTTTCCATTCATGGGGGGAAGCAACAGAGATGAGGGGAGAATATGGGGGGACCAAGAGATGAACAGAATTGGGATGCATGATGTGAGATCCCCAAAGATTCAATAAAGTTTAAAAAAAAAAGATGTTTTGGTTAAGGAAATTGACTGGCTAAAGGTGTGAATTGTGTAATGATAAAAGGCCCTTTGCTAAGCTAGTGTCTCAGTCCATGTGAGGCTGAGCCACCTGCTGCTGGAAAGGTTAGATCCATCCTTAAAGTACTCTGTGCCTTCTTTCCACAGACCAGAGTGAACCCGAATGAACCCACACCCGATCTACAATGAAAGAAGTAAATTACAAGCTGGGGAGTCAGGGAGGTAGTGGTGTTTGGCAAGTGGATGCCTGTTCTTCATCTGTTTTTTTTTTTGTTTGTTTGTTTGTTTGTTTTTTAATACAAAGCCTGCAATTTATTCTCAAAAAAAAAGAGAGAGAGAACAGAAAGAAACCTTTTTTTTTCCTTGTTTGAAAATAGATTTAGAAACTGTTCAGACCTCTCTGTCAGGAGTTCCCATCCCCAACCAGCTGCCTAGAATAATCTTCTTGCAACCATCTTTGAAAAGCACAGGCACATCTTCCTAGCAGTTGACAGGATGCTTCGTTGCAGTGGTGGTCTGGGTAGCGGCCACCCAGGCTTTTACAGAACTGGACCGGGCCCTGGGTCAGCCTCAGACCTGACCTCGCCATCCCATGTGTGCCTCTGAAGTCTAGCTGACACTACCTTAGCAGGACTCAATTGGCATGCAGGCTAGGAGACCAAAGAGTAGAAGCTCCCCAAGTGCCTTCAGCTCTCCACTTCTCTCCAAGGCTAGGGCTCACTGTTCTCAGCATTCAACTGATGAGGATGCCAACCTCTGAAGCCTGGCGGGTAGGATCTGAGCTGGCTGAGTTCAGTGGAGGTTAGAAGTATAGTGATGGACTCCATTATGTTGTTTTTCAAGATAGGTTTCTGTATTGCCTGCCTCTTCCAAGGGCTGGAATTAAAGGCGTGTACCACCACTGCTTGTCCAGTTTGTCCAGCAACTGAGAAATATTGAAGACTTCTGTTTTTGTTTTTAATGGGATGGTTTCTCAGTGATTTTTTTTTTTTTGGTTTTTCGAGACGGGGTTTCTCTGTGTAGCTTTGGAGCCTAACCTGAAACTCTCTGGAGACCAGGCTGGCCTCTGCCTCCCAAGTGCTGGGATTAAAGGCGTGCACCACCAACGCCCGGCTCTCAGTGAATTTTTGTAGTTACAGTGTTAGACCCCCGAAAACTCAAGTATCCGGGGTCCCAGGCCAGGTTCGCGGTCACCCTAATCACCAGGCGGATTCGAGAGCTTGCTGCAAACTGCACGAGGCTTTATTGTAATTTAACGAGCTAACCCTATGTTAGCTCGGGTCTTTCCCCCACCCGCCATGGCAGACGGCTAGAAAAGACGGCTCTTACGGGCTCCCAAAAGATCTTATAGGGCAGTGTAAGGGGAGTGTCTAGGGGTACGCACAGGCTTACGCAAGGCTCATGATTGGTGTGCTTCCAGGCTTTGAGGGCTTGCCCTGTGTTGATTGGTCAACTGGTTGTTATGGCTCATATATGGCTGCCAAAAGGGAAGCCGGTTCCTTCAACAGTGTGTACTGAGTAAGATAGAGATCCAGAGTTTTGTTTTTTTGTTGTTTTTGTACCTTACCAAAGGCCGTACCTCATTAGAACACAGAAATTAGGAACCATGCAGCAGCAGGCAGACTGGATGGCACTGTGTTTAAACAGTCATACTTTGTTTTCCTTTTTAAAAAAGACATACTAGGGAAGGAGATGAAATTCCAAGTATTTTTTTTCTGTCCAGACTTTAGATTCTCAGAGTAATTTTTTCTTGTGTTTACTTATCACAATACTCTTAGCCTTATCCAGAGTTCCTTGAAGTCGCAGAATACACCTGCACAATTAGGGCTTCCACAAGTCCTTGCAGAGATGCTCCTGTTTACCAATCTCCACACTTCTATGCTTCCTTACATAGGTGTGAAGTTGTCTTTGGGTTGTTGAATTACTGGTTCATAGCCTCCCCTGCCCAAGGAAGGAAGCACTGCTATCTTCCTTTGGCCTCTGTCCCTCTCTCACCAGGAAGACAAACCCATAGCTGGGTTCTCCCTCACTTTTTATAAAAATTGAGGCAGATTCTATTTCTGGCTGGCCCAGAATTCACATTATCCGCCCCTCCCCCGGCCCCACACAGACACACACACACACACACACACAACACACAGGGTTTCTCTCTGTACCCATGGCTGTCCTGGAACTCGCTCTGTAGACCAGTCTGCCACTGTCTCCCGAGTGCTGTTGCGTCACCACACCGGGCTTCTAACTCATCCCTTTTAACGTTAATGCTGAATTTCATTTAGATCTGTCTTCCGGTCCAAAACTGTTCGGAACGTCACCAGGACCACTCAAACCACCACGGCTTGACGCGCTTCTGTAACCTCCGAGTAACCTCACGTAGGCCACCATCACCTCTGTAGGTACACCGGGTCTCAGCAGACATCAGTTCACGCGCACCTCCACCTAAGTGTGACTAAACCCTGCGGCGGACGGAAGCCGTTCGTTCCCTCAGCACATGGGCACTCACGTCAGACGACACCGAGCACGGAGGACAACTCGGAGACTACGTGGGACAATCCAGAAGCCCTGGCGCCCTTCCTTCACAGAGGAGCAGCCCCACCCCTCCCCACCGGAACTACCTCCTCCTCCGCGCCCGGCGCGCCCACGCACGTCAGCGCTGACGCTACGGGAGCCGCCCCCCTCCGACGCAGGTGGCCAGCGCGACACGCGCATGCTCACTAGGTGGGGTCACGGGAGGCTCCGGGCGCTGCCATCTGTTGCGCCGCCCTCGGGAGCCGGCAGATCCGGGTCTCGTGGCTAAGAGTGACGTGGTCTGTCGAATCCAAACAGAGGGGAGGAGGCCGTCGGCCAGCAGCAGCGGCAGCGACAGCGGCGTCCGGAGCGCTCCCGGCTGCCACCCTCCCCGCCCGCCGCTTGTTTGGGCGGGTGAGTGTCCCCCTGGCCCACCGCCCTCTTCGGCGACCGTCTTCGCGTCGCCACTTCGATGCCCGCGCGTTCCCGGGGACCGCTGCGGCAGAAAGGGCAGCTCCGTGTGGGCGCTGCACCCAGGGAGCCCGCGGCCGCCGGCCGGGCAGCCTGCAGCTGGGGTGGACGGGCACCCGCGGTCCTTCCGGACATTCTCACTTTCAGGGCCCGATAGGCAGCGTGGGCGTGCAGGGGATTGGGGACCGTAACCCCGAAAGCCGGGCGGTGGCTTTTGCCTGGTGGGTCCGAAGAAGCCACCCGGACGCGGCCCTTTGTTGTGGTGTGCGATAGCTGCCATTCTGAAAGCCAGAGCCCTTTTTATCCTCCATTGTGTTGTGGATTTAAAAGATTCCCCTTTTCTGTTGGTTCTGTACGTAGAGCCCGGGTTGAAAACGGGCAGGGTAGCAGCACCGTTATTAGAAGGAATGCAGGGCGATAGCCTGGCAGTGGTTTGAGATCAGTGTCGCTGCTTAAAGCCGAAGTTTTCCGAAGTGGCTGTTTAAACGTAAGGATTTTTTAGCTAAGATGATACTTGGCTAACCGTAGAGAGGCAGCAGGATGCTTTAAGTTGCCCCAGCTGGAAAAGCCGAGAATGTGGCCTTGATAATGGAATGCCTTGGGTTTGCATCTGGAGCGGCGGATGAGCTCCAGCAAGCATTTATACCAGCAAGCATTTATACCTGCACTTGTAGAAGAGACCCTCCCGTTTTGTGTCGTGTTTTCAGAAACTGCTAGCATCTATTCGTACAAGAATTTGGAAAAGCCTACAATTTCCCAAGTGTTTGCGTTGCCCTGTGTCTGACGTGGAGGTTAGGGGAAGCAGCTGCATGCTTCTTCAGGTGACTCACTGCTCAGGCAGATTCCTTTAGTGTAGTCTCCCACCCTTCTGCCCTCAGTACTCAGACCAGAAACGAAACTTGGGTGTCCCAACGTGGTTTAAAGAGGAACATTTCCCCTCTCCAAGATTCTCAGTTGAAGTGTTTCTGTGGTAAGCAGCAGGAAAGAACGACAAAACTATGTGATTGCTTTCCATTAAATCTGGGAAGAATTCTTAGGAATTTAGACTCCTTCTTTGAAGGATGTGCCCTTGGGCAGTAACGGACCTGTTACGAATCTTCCTCCTGTATAGGTCATGGATTTTTTTTTTTTCTTTCCTTTTACAGTACTAGGAATCCTGTTGATACAGATAGACAAAGGGAGGGTTTTTGTTGTTGTTTTTATTGTTTTTGTACTTTCTCTTTTTTAGCTTAAAAAAAAACCTTTATACTATGCTAAAACAATATTTTTGCTTGTATGAAATGTTCTTTCGGTGATTGGAGAAAATGTTGATAGAAGTATATGAGGAGAAAAGAATAGTAATCCTGCCTCTCAAGAGGCCAGATGTTAGTTTATACCCTTCCAAATACTTTTGTGTTTATTTCTTTTATAAAAATATGCTATCATACTGCATTTGGTTTCTTTTTCCCCCGAGATACGGTTTCACTGTGTAGGTCCAGCTGTTCTGGAACACACTCTATAGATCAGGCTGGCCTCGAACTCACAGAGATCCATCTGTCTCTGCCTCTTTGAGTGTACCGTCACTGCCTAGCTACATGTGGTTTTTTAAATTTAGTGTGTGGGTACTTAGCTTATATGTATGTCTGTGCACCTTGTGCGTTCGTGGGTGCCCGAGGAGGTGTTGAATCCCTGGGTTTGAGTTACAGGCAGTTATGAGCTGCCATATGGGTCCTGGATCATAACCCAGGTCCTCTGCAAGAGCAGGTAATGCTCTAACTCTCCCACCTCGCCCCCATTTCACTTTTTTTGCTGTGCACTTAACATGCTGGCACTTTTTCTTCCCTCCCTCCCCCCTCCCTCCCTTCCTTCTTTCCTTTTTTTCTGAGATAGGGTTTCTCTGTGTAGCCCTGGCTGTCTTGGAGCTCACTCTAGACCAGGCTGGCCTCAAACTTAGAGATCTACCCGAGTGCTAGGATTAAAGCCATGTACCACACCTCCTGGCAACTGCCATTTAAAATTTTTATTCATTTATTCATTTTTGCAACTGTGGACCTTTTAGAGTGAAATCCACTATGTTGGGAAAGCAATAGTTTTTGTTTTGTTTTGTTGTTTGCACTCCCCAAACAGGGTTTCTTTGTGTAGAAGCCCTGGCAGTCCTGGAACTGGCTCTGTAGACCAGTCTGGACTCAAACTCACAAGAAATCTGCCTGCCTCTGCGTCCTGAGTGCTGGGATCAAAGGTGTGCACTGTTGCTGCCACCACTAGGCAACAATAGCTATTATTAATGCCCTGGTGTTGAAAGTTTTCCTCTTGTGTCTTTGGTGATATTGTGAGATTTAAGAAATCATAGACATTGTATGAGGTGTGAGGCTTAGCTTGTTATATCTCAAGGCAGCAAGCACAATGTAGAATTTGAGAAGAGTTAGCAGTTCTACTCAAGTAAATTTAGGTATAATCCTTAGTTATGCCATGCTCCAAAAGATGAGTAGCTGTTATCACCCCAGCCAGCATGAGACCCTGGAGGTATTTACTTAGTGCCCTTAATGTACTTTGTTGGTTTAGGGTGTGTGCCATCTGGTACAGGGTTTTTGTTATTGTTGTTGTTTTGTTTTTAACCATTGATACCAAAGGACAATGCCCTCTTCACCCCAGCTTCAAAGGCTAAGTACCATGAAGAATCCTAAATCTGCTAAAGCGAATTTGGGCTGATATCTCATAAGCTTTTCTAAGACCTATAAATCTCTATTGTCATTCCTTATCTCCTGAGTAATTAATTCTAGATGCTCAGTACACTCTGGCAGGGTTCTTTTTTCTTTCCTTTCTTTTTTTTTTGTTTTGTTTTGTTTTGTGAGACAGGGTTTCTCTGTGTAGCTTTGGAGCCCATCCTGGTAGTCGCTCTGGAGACCAGGCTGGCCTCGAACTCACAGAGATCCACCTGCCTCTGCCTCCTTTTCTTTCCTTTTCACAAGACTTTTTTTTTCCACAAAATTTTTTACATCTGTGAAATGTGCACCTGAGAGTGTGTGCACATGTGTATGTGCTCTCGTGCATGCTCCTCAAAGGAAGCCAGAAGAGGGTGTTGGACTCCCTGGTGCTAAAGGAACTAAAAGTGGTTGTGAGTTTGGTTATGAGCTGCCAGACAAGGGGACTAGGAACCAAACTGGGGTCCTCTGGACAAGTAGCAGGTGCTTTTAATGGCTGAGCCATCTCTCCAGCCCCTTTAATTGAGATAAATTATAGCACTTAGTATGTGTTCTTTCCCCACCCCTGGTGCTACCATTCTTGCTAGACTATCACCATCTCTTATGTGGTCAACTGAAGTAACTTCCTGGCCTCTCTCCAAGTTCAGCTGCTTATTGTGCATTTCTCCCATCACAGCCTCAGAGATTCCTTAAAATGTAAATGAGATATTCTCCCCCCACCTTTCTAGTCTCGAATGGTGGCGTATACCCAGCACTCTTGGGAGGCAGAGGCCATCCTGGTAACAGACAACAGACTTGCTAGGCACTTCCTATTTGCCTTTGCCGTCTTCTCTTACCATTCTTGTGTGTCTGTATTCTACGTGGTCCTGTGCTCTAGAAACTGGCCACATCAGTATAATCCTGTTTTCCATCCCTTTTTGTTGTGTCTGATGCTAGTATGTGAGCTGCCTTAAGGTCTTTGCTGTTCCTGTACCTTGTGGCTTCAGTATTCTCCCAGTCTGCTTTGGCCAACTCATTTCTGTTATTCAGATTGCAATTCAGATGTTGGCTTTTCAAAGAAATTACCCGATTTTTCTTTTCTTTTTAAAAGAAATTTTTCTTTTCTTTTCTTTTTATTCACAGCTTTTACTACTACATGATTGTCTTTATCTTAAGTTTGTTTGTTTTCTTCTGCTTCTTACTGGGTTGTGGTGGCACACACCTTTAATCCCAGCACACTGGAGACGGAGGCAGGTGGATCTCTGAGTTCGGGGCCAGCCTGATCTACAGCAAGTTTCAGGACAGCCAGGGCTACAGAAAGAAACCCTGTCTTGGGGGTGGGGAGTTCTTTATGCTGGCAGTTCTTCAAAAATGGCATAATAGGTACTCTGTGTCTCTTGGTTGGATGAATGAACTTGTGGACATATCTATGATCTTCTTTAGTGCTATTCTTTCTCAGAAGACTAATGATCAGCAGCTTTTCATAGGACAGTTTTAATCTTTGGTGTTTGGGTCAAAGAACATCCTCATTCTTTTTTTGTTTTTGTTTTTTGTTTGTTTGTTTGTTTTGTTTTGTGAGACAGGGTTTCTCTGTGTAGCTTTGGAGCCTATCCTGGCACTCGCTCTGGAGATCAGGCTGTCCAAGAACTCACAGAGATCCTCCTGCCTCTTCCTCCCGAGTGCTGGGATTAAAGGGGTGAACCACCAACGCCCGGCCATCCTCCTTTTTAAGACCTATGGGACCTTGGAGAAGTGGGTTCCCAGAATCTGTATTCTCCTTAGTCCACTTTTCTCTGGTGCTGTGAATTGAACCTAGGCCTTTGTGCACGGCATGTTCACACTCCACCCCTGAGTTATACCCCATGCTTTGGCTATAACTTTTTGTTGTGTTTTGTGGAGGGGTTTTATGTAGCCTAGGCTGGTCTGAGGCTGTCTTAAACTTCTGACCCTACTTCTTCCACCAGGGTTTTTGTTTTGTTTTGTTTTTGTTTTTGTTTGAGGCAGTGTCTTGGCTCCACTGCTAGGGCTGGCCTTGGTTAACTGGAAGTCTTCCTGTCTCTTTCCCCCAGAGGTTTCCCCAGTGTAATTACAGACATGAGCCACCACACCCAGATCCAAATTTGCACTTTCAACAAACCCTTTGGGTGATTTTATTTTACGTTAAAGTTTGAGAATGTTTCTTTTTTAATGTCTCGTTTTCTGGAAGATAGTTCTTTTACACGAGTCCTGATTTGGGGGAACTGAGTGTGTTAGATAAGGTTACTATGCTAAATATTACTCCTA